CCTGTATCTAGTTTGTCCTGGAAACAAAGGGAAAGGCTGAGCTCTCCTATTCAAAGTCCAGCTTGTACCTGACACAGAGGTGGACTGAGTCTACACATCACTCATTCATTTTCATTATGCAAATATTTGCTGAGGACATCCTGTGTGCCATACATACTGGTGAATTATGGTGACTCAGAATTGAACATCCAAACATGTCGCCTGCCCTCCTGGGCCTTCCAGTTGTATAAAGGAAATAATAGTTACAGCATCACGAGCATCCTGAAAGAGGAAGTAAAGGGCACAATGGCAGCTATGGGAGGTGGAGGAAGTAGGCAGGGCAATACGTGGCATCCAGTTATAACCAGGGAGATACAGAGGCTGGGAAATTGGCAGAGCCCACCTCCACCTTCAGTCCACATGTAGACATTTTTCTTCAAAACAGGACAATGTTTTCCTGTTTTTGTCTGTCATCTTCGCCCACTTGCCCGAATGGGTAATTCAGAGGTTATCTCTGGTTGCTTTTCCCCTTTTCCAGTCTTCGGCTCCCACCTACAGACCCTTTAAAAATGAGTCTTCTTCTTATTCCCCACGAGCATTCTGTGGCTTTCAGGAAGACAGTAATTGCTGATTAAACCAAGGGTCAAAGTCTTAATAACCAAACCAATCCAAAGCAAACCACCAAACCAAACAAAAAAATTGGCCTTCCCATTGATGGAAGGTAGAAAAAAGGTGGGCATTTAGAAGCACAACGTAAAGTCTATATAAAAGGAAATTTAGTCGATTTTCTATTTAAGAAAAAAAATGTTAACCATTAGAACAAATGTTGCCACAATCTTTAGAAATGGAAACGACCTCCAATAGGGAATTGTGAATAAGTCTCCAAACATTTCAATTAAGTCTTCAAACATTTCAATTAAGTCTTCAAACATTTTTACTCATGCACATGAGATGGTATCCACTCTCCTACAAAATTTTCAATTGTCACCTAAATTTTTTCATCCTAAGTATTTGCAAAGGAAGCAATTTTCCACATAACGTAAAAATTTACATTTTCAAATAAAACAGTCATGCTTTTAAATGAAGCCAATGAAATCTAAATATCATAACAGTTGTGCCTACCATCAACTATTTAAAAAACATATGAACAAATTATTCTTTACCTGTAGGATATTTTACTTTTACATAATTTATTTTCTCTTCACATTTATAATTCAATTCCACATCCCATCCCTCAGGAATATATCTTAATTAATGTAGTTTTATGTTTGACTATGTTTTTTGTTTTTGTTTTTGAGACAGTGTCTCACGCTGTTGCCCAGGCTAGTGAAGTGATGCAATCACAGCTCACTGAAGCCTAGACCTCTCAGGCTCAAGCGATCCTCCCACCTCAGTCTCCAAAGTAACTGGGACTGCAGGCAGGTACCTTCATGATTGGCAAATTTTTAATTTTTTTGTAAAGATAGGGTCTCACTCTGTTGCCCAGCCTGGTCTCAAATTTCTGAGCTCAAGCAATACTCCTGCCTGGGCCTCCCAAAATGCTGGGATTACAGGCCTGAGCCACCATGCCTAGTTTAATGTGTTTTATTAATCAATCTATTATATTTCACTGCAATGAAAATACATATAAAGGCCAGGTGCAGTGGCTCACAACTGTTATCCCAGCACTCTGGGGTGCCGAGGTGGGCAGATCACCTGAGGTCAGGAGTTCAAGATCAGCCTGCCTAACACGGTCAAACCCTATCTCTACTAAAAAATACAAAAATTAGCTGGGTGTGTTGGCAGGCACCTGTAATCCCAGCTACTCTAAAGGCTGAGGCAGGGAGAATAGCTTGAACCTGGGAGGCAGAGGTCGCAGTGAGCCATGATTGCGCCATTGCAATCCAGCCTGGATGACAAGAGGGAAAACTCCATCTCTCTCTCTCTCTCTCTCTCTCTCTCTCTCTCTATATATATATATATATATATATATATATAATACATAGAAGTTGAAATTTTAAGTTTCTTATGACTAGTGATTGGAAGTTATTTTCTTCTAGATTGAGGCATTGTTATATTTATTAGCAATTCTCAAGTGTTCAAAACAATACAAAATATAATTTTTTATTAAACGTGATGTTTTACAGTTAAGGGCACACATTTATTGTTAAATACTACTTATTAGAATGAGACAGTTCAGATTCAATATTTTCTCAATTTTTCATTTTTATAAATTCTGAGAAAATATTTTCACATTAATAAGTAGATGGAGGCTGGGTTTGGTGACACACACCTGTAGTCCCAGCACTTTGGAAGGTGGAGGCAGGTGGATCACTTGAGCTCAGAAATTCAACACCAGTCTAGGCAATATGGTGAAATGCTGTCTTTACAAAAAAAAAAAAAAAATTGCCAGGTGTGGTGGCGCATGCCCATTGTCCCAGCTACTTGGGAGGCTGAGATGGGAGGATCACTTGAACCCAGGAAGTTGAGGCTATAGTGAGCTGAGATTGTGTCACTGTACTCAAACCTGGGCAACAGAAGAGACCCTGTCTCAAAAAAAAAAAAAAAAAAGTAGCTGGGCCTATAAGGAGTTTTGTCATTATATCAATGTCACTTAATTCTTTAAACTCCTTCTAATTGATATCAGTGATCTTTAGGTCATACTTTGTTCAAAGAGATTATTTGGAAATCATCTGACTTGCAAAAGAATTTGTTACCCAGTCATTAGAAGTATACATTCTCTAAACAGCCCAGTGTTTTAAATTTATAAAGAACTGGCAAAGATAGCTGAGGTTTTTACAACCCAGAGCAATGCCTGTAAGATTCTCAAATGTCTTTCCTTTTACAAATGGGAAATATACAGCTATTATGAAAGAGTTTGGAAAGGAGACACCTTGACCATACTCCTTTACCAGCAGATCAATTTTAGGAAAGAACATAGGTGTAAATCGAAGATTGAGAAACTGATAGCCTTTTTTTTTTTTTTTTTTTTTTTGACAGAGTTTCTTTTTGTGGCCCTGGCTGGAGCACAGTGGTGTGATCATGGCTCATAGCCTTGACCTCCCCAGCTCAGCTCAGGTAATTCTGCCACCTCAGCCTCCTGCGTGGCATGCCTAATTTCTTGTGTGTGTGTGTGTGTGTGTGTGTGTGTGTGTGTGTGTGTGTGTGTGTGTGCGCGCGCGCGCATGTGTGTCTATGCATGTATAAAGTCGGGGTTTTACCATGTTGTCCAGGCTGCTCTCAAACTCTCAGGTTTAACAATCTGCCTGCCTCAGCCTCCCAAAGTTCCGGCATTATTGGCATGAGCCATAGCAGGAACTGGTAGCCTTTAAGCTAAGTGTCCATTTATCCCTTAACAATCCCATGGGGGATACAGAGCTCAGTTTGAAGACGGTTGATGTGAATTTTTACATCTTATTGAATTAGATGAGAGAGAGAAGTCAGTTCAGGTTAGGCCTTGGTTAAAACATTGTACACTGTTATCTGTACCCTGGAAAAATATAGAACTGTGACTTATATGCTAGGGATAAAATAGCCAGTCCTCTTGGTTGGTTAATTTTCGTGGATGGTCAATCTTATGCTTTATACTTTATTCTTTTATATATTTTCTTCTCAGTGGCAATTACTTCAGTTTTGGGAATCTGATGTTGAGTGTAGTCTAATACTGACCACCTAAGGAAGTACTATGCTATACTTAAAAATGATTGACTGTAAAAACATAAGAAATGTTTAGAGTATAAAAGCAAAATATACAGTTAGTTGTATGAAAATTATTTCAATTATGCAAAACTACATAAACTTCTGGACAATACTATATGAAAATGAAGTTATAATTTTTTAATAAATATTTTTAGTGTTACATGGCTTCTAACATAGTGTTATTGATTACATTTATGATGCTGAGGGTCAGACTGTCTACTGTTAATATTCTCTTGCTCCTAGTGGTACTAAGCAATTATGTGAGCTTAAGTTCCCTCAAACAAAGTGACTGAAGGTCCACTTCAAGAGGAGGTCCATTTTCAAAAATTCTATTTTCTCATCAGGATTCATTATGAGTGTTATTCCCCAAACACATTTAAACATTTTCATCCTAGTTTATTACAACCTAGGTCTTAGCATCACAAATTCCAGATGTTTATCAGCTGCTGTATGAGGAAGTAATTCTTTTCATTCATATATATAACCTTTTTAGCTTTCTTTTATTTCCCAATTTTATTATTCAGAACTGAAGAACTTGACTTTACATTGCTCTTAGGGTTTAACCATTCCTCATAGCCTTTATAGATTTAGAGACTACTTTAAAAAGAGAGTCACGTTTGGCAGACTCTAAAACTAATCTCATTTTTTGAAATTCCGATCTCCTCTGTGTGTTCTGAGGTGTAATTACGAGCTTGGTGATTTCCAGGGCCCACCAAAGGAAGGACAGAAGACTAATCTGAGGGCCTTCACGTGTGTGAGGATAATACCGGTCCCCACCCAAATTTGGATTTTAGCTTCCTTGATTCCCACGTGTTGTGGGAGGGACCTATTGGGAGATAATTCAATCAAGAAGGCGGTTCCCCCATGCTGCTCTCATGGTAGTGAATAAGACTCATGAGATCTGATTGTTTTATAAAGGGTTTCCCTTTTCGCTAGGCTCTGATTTTTTTCTTGCCTGCTGCCATGTAAGACGTGGTGCCCTTCCCCTTCTGGCATGATTGTGAGGCCTCCCCTCTCCAGCCACGTGGAACTCTAAGTCTGTAACAGCTTTTTCTCTTTATAAATTACCCAGTCTCGGGTATGTCTTTATATGCAGCGTGAAAACGGACTAACACACTACCCTTCTGGGGTCTCTGAGATGGAACCGAAAGATTCCCTAAAGGAGCACCCCGAAAACTGGAGAAGAGAGGAGCCAGCGAGATCTCAGAACTCGATCTGCCTCGAGAGACTTGATGCGCACAGATCCGCCCCCTCGCAGCGCCCCGCCCCCTGGCACGCTGCACGCAGGCACGTCCTTCCAGCAGCTCGCGGCCCCGCCCCCCATCGCCCGGCCCTGGCCGTGACGCCCCGCCCTGGCCATGACGCCCCGCCCCGCCCCTAGGCGGTTGCTGGCAGCGGCTGCCGCCCTCCCACTGCCCAATAGCGCGGCTGCAGTCTGTGATGTGAAGCTCTGCTCAGGCTTGTCCGGCCCCCGGCTCACAGCCTATTACACCATCCGTCGCAGAAGCCGCAGCAGCCGGAGCCGACTCAGAGGGCGGGAGGCAGTTCGGGTGGCGGGGCGGGGCGAACAGCGCGCCCGGATTCATTCCTGTGGGTCGCGGGGCATGGAGGAGCTGTGCGGCCGCAGGCGGAGCTGGGCGGCCCGGGCGGTGGCGGGGACAACGGTTTCCCTTTGAAGGGGACGGCTTGAACCCGAGTGACCATCGGCGGCGGGGAGGACTAGCCCCCGGGCAGGTAGTGGCGGCGGCGGCGGCTGCCAGGGCTCGGGCCGGAGCCCTGAGGTGCCCGCGGAAGGCCTGGGCGGGAAGGAGGGCGCCGGCGAAGCCGAAGGCGGGCAGCGGGCTGGAGGCCACAGGCTTGGCCCTTCGGGAGCGGGTTGTAGTCGGTGGAGGAGATTGGGGAGGGGGCTGCCGTTGTCTGGAATAGGGCGAGGGGAGTGTTGTGTTGGGCGACTGTGGTTTGAGGAACCTGCGATCATCTCTTGGCGGGGGGTTGGGGTGATCAAAATGGGGCGGGCGAAGTTAATGGCTAAAAGGCAGGCGGATTTCCTGAGAGCCGTGAGTAGTTTTAAAGGAAAGAGAATTTTGCTAGGTGGAGTTTTGGCCTTAGCCGAGGTTTGGTGTGTCCGACCTTTTTGTTCCTTCTCAAAACCCGGCCTCAATGAGGCCTTCTAGCCTGGCGCCCTTGGCCAGCTCGCCTGCAGATGCAAGAAAGAGAAACATTTCTGAACCCGAGTTTCCTGCCTCTTTCGGTTGTACTCTCCCTGGGCGTGTGCAAAGCCAAACTAGAACAAAGCTTGGCTGATTAGAGCTGGAGGCGAGAAAACGGGCTGCCTGTAGTGTTTAAATTTTCCGCACATGGAGGAGACTGCCTGCCACCAAAACATTTGGGTCTCTGTACCTTCTGTATTTTTCTTTACCACCTTTTCTTTGGGGGCAGGGGGCCTTGGGACAGAGTAGTGCCTGAAGTTTAGCTTTTATTCCTTTCTTCCCACAGAAGTGGAATTAAGAAGTGTTTTGCCTTTACCTATAGAAAATTAAAAGCTGCTATTTTTTTTTTTCTTTCTCTAGTTTGGTGCCGTTTGTCAGATGTTGGAAGGCAGTAGGACGGAACATACTCTTCGTGGTTGTATATCCGCTCTAGGGTGCAGCAATTAATATTGAACTTTGGTTCCTGTGACTCTTGGCTGTGTCGATAGAGTTAAGCTGGAGCTCTGCTTTGAAAGGTAAATAAAGCACAGCGTCTCAACTGGACATAAATGGATCTAAAGACAGCAGTATTTAACGCAGCTCGGGATGGCAAACTCCGGCTTCTCACCAAATTGTTGGCAAGCAAATCCAAAGAGGAGGTTTCCTCCTTGATCTCTGAAAAAACAAATGGGGCCACGCCACTCTTGATGGCCGCCAGGTATGGGCACCTTGACATGGTGGAATTCCTCCTAGAGCAGTGCAGTGCCTCCATAGAAGTTGGGGGCTCCGTCAATTTTGATGGCGAAACCATTGAGGGGGCTCCCCCTTTATGGGCCGCTTCTGCAGCAGGACATCTGAAAGTGGTCCAGTCTTTGTTAAATCATGGAGCATCGGTCAACAACACGACTTTAACTAATTCAACTCCTCTTCGAGCTGCGTGTTTCGATGGCCATTTGGAAATAGTGAAGTACCTTGTAGAACACAAAGCTGATTTGGAAGTGTCAAACCGACATGGGCATACGTGCTTGATGATTTCATGTTACAAAGGACATAAAGAGATTGCTCAGTATTTACTTGAAAAGGGGGCAGATGTTAATAGAAAAAGTGTTAAAGGTGAGTTCAGCTTCTTTGTTTTTCTACGTGTCTGCCACTTATTTTCAGGAAGTTTGATGCATAATTATAAGCATTGGTATTGAGTAAACCAACATTTGACAGACTTTGTTTTGATTAGGTAAGTCTTCCAGTCTGACTTTGTTGAGTGTTTCTCTGATGTTTGGTAATACACTGAAAAAGTGTGATAAAAGACTTTTGTTACTCTGTTAAGCAGTGTTTTCTCTCTTATTTGGAGTAACAAAATTCTTGGAAAATGGGTTCCCTAAAGTTACAGAGCATGTTAATGGTAGCTGAGCTGAGCCTTTAGGCTTTTACTTAATCTACATTAGTCTACATGGGAATATGGTTAAGTGTAATACATTTTTCTTAGTTTTTTTTTTTTTTTTTTGAACAACCTTGGAGTAGAAACTACTATGTTTATTGAGTCATGGTCTTGTTTGTTCTAGGTAGTTATTTCACTTATTCTGTCAGAGAAGACTAGTCCAAACTGACCTGGAAGGATTAATATCAGTGGAAAAGGAAAAAATCTATTCCCTTATTCTATATTTGTTGTCAATAGATAATCCTTTTATAAGAATATGCATTAAATATAGCAAGAGAGAAAATACATTTTTAAAACCGCTTCAGTACTGAGAATGCAAAATAAGAACTAGATTAAACAGATGTGGATTTGTTGGCTAGCAACAGTGTAAACACCTTTGTCCAGAAAAAGGGCTCCAAGTTTACAATTGTGTATAATTTTCGTTGATTGTAATCCAAAAGTAGCAAAAGATAGTTTAGAATTTTTCTTAACCCTTAAAAGCAACAGTCTTCATAGCATAATTTTGATACTTGAAAACCTTAACTTTCCCTAAACAAATCTATTTATACAATAGCAAAAAAATTTACTACCTCATTTTTAAAAGCTATTAAAATTTAAAAGTAGCATATAGACGTGTTTAAAAAAAAAAAAAACTGTAAATGATTTACAATAAAAAGTCTTATTCCTGATTTCTAGATCTCTAATGTGCTGACAACCACTATTTACAATTTTTATGTGTCCTTTTAGAGCTGATCTATGCAAATACAAGCAGTCTTGTCTATGTACAAGCATACTTGTTTGTGTAGCCCTCCGTCTAGTGGTTGATTACATACTGTTCTGTCTTTATTTATTTTTCTAACTTGGATGTCATTCAACTTCAACACATATAGCTACCCCATTCTGTTTCATGGTGATACAGTATTTCATTGTATGAATGTACATAATTTTTCTGGTCTCTACTGGTCAATACTTAGGTCACATCCAGTACTTTGCTAATATAAACAATGCTACTGTGAACATTCTTGAACAAAAATGTGTCTTTGCACATTTGTATGAGAATAACTAGTATAAATACCTGTGTTTAGAATTGCTAAATCAAAGTGAGTATACATTTGCAAATGTGATGGTGTCTGCCTTTCAGAAAGGTTAAACCACAAAATTATGGGGCACTGTGTAGTTACTGAGGATATTTACTGTACATAGTATGATCTTTTTAAAAAAGATTTGTTATAAAAATGATACAAAATCATTGTGAATTTTCTGAATTTTTTTTTCCAGAGGAAGTGTAAAAATCCCACAAAATTCCAGTACTCAGGGATAATAGTACTTCCAAAGATATTTCTGAATTTTGCATACAGATATATGTATGCAGTTTTATATGCTGTTCTATAACCTGTTTTTTAGCTTAATAAATATTATCTTTAAATTACTAATTATAGGTCTTTAATTTCAATAGCCGCATACTCTTCTACTAATGGAGTTTTATGTTGCTTCCAGTTTTTCAGTATGATTAAAAAAAAGTTTCTGTAAACATTCTTTCTAATAAGTGTTTTCGTTTGTTCCTGATTATCTTTAGGTGGCTTGGTAGATCAAATGATGGCATTTTTTTTTTTCTTCAAACAATATCATTCTTTTGAAGAATGCTTGTTTTAAGAGAGCAAATTACTGCTGAACTAACCATGTTAATATTGGGAATGGTTTGAAATCATGACTGCTAGTTTTGTTGAATTTTTTTGTTTCTTTGTTTTGGACTTTTTATTCATCAGCTTGATGTAGAGATTATTGATAAATTCATATTTAAGTCAAATTGGGGTATGTTTTAAACTCATGTCATTGGAGAGATGAAAACCGGTATTACTTCCCTTATATTTTTCAAAGCTTCTTTATATACTTTTGGAGATATATGAGAGAACTCTAATATAAATAGCTCATATTATTTCAGGATTTTCTCCTGAGAAGCCGTAAACAGTATTTAACTTGATTACTTTTGAGCTCTTTCAGACAAATGGTCCCTTTGTCACCACTGTCATCTTATAGTCTTGTAAGTGAGGGTATGTATGTTCTCTCTTTTGGTCAAACTAATTCTAAGTCATTTTTTTCCCCAGTATCAATATCTAATATGTATATCTTTTAAAAACTACATGTAACATGAGAAAACAATTTCATTCCAAAAATTGTTTTCTAATAACTTCAACTTTATACACATACATGGTCTACTTAAAGATAAAATGCATGTGACTTCTACATTCCATTACTTTTAAACAGGCAATTGATACTTGAACATATTATTTAACCTCTTTTCATTACTTTTTAACAGGCTACTGGCATTTTGAACATGTTTTAACCTAAGGTAGAACTTACTAAATGAGAGCAATTGTTGCGTCCCTCAGTGTGCCAGGCTATTAGGATGTACAAAAAGGAATAAGACAAGATATCCAATCCTTGATTCCCTGCTCTTGAGGAGCTCATGGTTTGATTGGAGAGACAGGTTCATAAGTAGATATTTAAACCACAGTATGGTAAGTGCAACAGTAGTGCTTTCTTCTATTAGATATTTGGAAATACTTTATCCTCAACAATTTTTAACCTGAGGGGACAATGAGTTTCTTCTTTTCCAATGGCATTCCAAAAGGGAAAATATCTTTGAGATATTTAAGAATACTTCTTCAGTTTAACAGTCACAACAATTGATTTTTGAGACAGGAGCTGGTTCTTATTTAGGACTCTAGACTGCAAATCAGAAGTGATTAGGTGAGTCCTTCTCAGAGCTATCACAGTGATCTCAGTGCTTTGTGGTTATATTCATCTTTGGTTTTCTTTGGTTCTTCTGTTTGTGTTTTGGGGTTGTTTTGTTTTTGTTTGGAGTTAGAATAGAACTTTGCAGATCCAAAGTGAAGTCCTCTTGAATTCCACTTTTATACCCTAATTCTAATGGAAATTGGGCAGCTAAAGGTTCTTGATTCAGTACTACAGACCAGTAGAAAACTCTGTAGGCTCAAGATTTGGAGACTGGCTCTAGAAGACATTCTGTCCTCATTCGTGGGTCAGTCAGTTTAGATACTCAAAGTAATTAAGTAAATTGGTAATAAGGCAATTAACATGCATGTTCTGTAGGCAAGGCATTGTGTTGGACATTTTGGAGATTAGATGATACAAGGTGTCACATTTTTATCTTGTGAAGGAGTAGTATAAGCAATCTGTGTTACAGAATTTTGAGCAAGTGTACTGACTAGGATTACTTCATGGAGAAAGTAGAAGTTAAACAGGGCCTTGAATTTTGGTGTTTAAATCTGCAGACAGGTTGGAGTTTAGATCTGAAGAAAGTTTGTTGGGGTATAGATCTGCAGAAGGGTTTTGGTAGTTTTGCAGGTTTAGGAAATGGCGTAAGGAAAGGCACACTGAAGTATATGCTTGGAGGGTCCAGGAATTGGAAAGTAGGCATATTTGGACTAAAAGGCACTCAGGGCTGGATTTTAAAGGACATTGAATCTTGGTAAAGGAGTTGGATTTTATTCTTCGTGCCAGTGATTCAGCAGAGGACTAACTGGAGTGGCTTGTTTGTTTGCTTATTTGTTTTCAGGGAAACTTACCTAACTGCATTTTACTACATCACTGTGACATCTAACTGCATTCTACTACATAGTCTTTGAGGCTAAAGACCTGGTGTTTTCATCCCATACACTGGGCAGAATATCTGACACTAAATGAGCTTGTTGAGTGGACATGTTGGATTTAAGAGAGGAAAGATTATAAGCTCCTTGTTGGCAAGCACTATGTTTTATAGGCCTTTCTGTATGGAAATAAATACATGCATGAAGACTTGAAGTAACAAAGACAGTAGTTGACAAAAGTGACTGGCACAGGTAGAACTCTATAGGAGTTCAGAAAAGGGGAAAATACATGTAGGAGTGTAGCATGGAGAGCTAGTATTAAAAGGGTTTGAGAGAGCTAGTTCAGACAGTTTGCCTTTTCATTAAAGAAACTTTCTAAATTTAACACACAGAGAAAATACATTGAACCGCTATGTATCCATCATTTTACTTCAACAATTATCCATTTACTAAAGTTAAAAAAAATGTTTCTACTTTCCTTTTGTTTTCTCTAGAAGTTTAAAGCAAATCCAGGGCTTTATATTACTTCTCTCTCATAATATAGGCATTTAGAGTATAGATGTGTTTTAGTCAAGGAAATGCTAAAGAAAAATCTTATTTAATTCCCCACTGTAAATGTACAAGAATCTCAAATGAGAAAATCTCCCTTGTAAACTAAAAACTGTTGGTATTCAAATAGATTAAGATAATGATTGCTGTCATGGAAGCTAGGTTATTTTAGCATACTTTAGTGCTTTCTGAGTGTTGGAAGCTGAAGTTCTCATTTCCTTCTTGACTCTTAGCTGTTGGTTACCTCAGCATACCTACTTTCAGAGAAAAATACAAGGGGGAAGGGAAGGACTTAAAATTGTATCTACTGCATAATATATCTGTATGTATTTTGATTGAGTAATGATGTTTAAATAACTTACTACTTGAATTCGTTAACATTTTAATCCCAAATTATGAAGTTACTCCTATAAGTTGTTCCATATTCATTCTTTTCCTTCTTATATCCCCAGCACACTTTTCTGTGTCCTTGGGAAGACTTGGTATCCTAGTTGGATAAACTAAGCCATAGATGGTGTGCAAATTGAGTTTAATAGGGA